CCCCCCCCAAAAGAAAATAACATCAAAGCTGACAAAAATTGAAGTAAGAAAAAAGTACAAAAAGAAGCATGATAGCTCTTTTATAAAAATTACTCATTTATGAAATGTTTAGAAAAAAAGTAGTGGTTAAGTTAACAAAAATTAACTGAAATGGCTAACCTTCTCCATGGTAATGAGCACAAATACTCTTTAATTTCCAGATGTGAGACTATTTATTCTCATTTATAATTCACTTAAAAAAAAACAAAGCTCCAACAAACAAGTTTGCTAATTAGCATCTAAAAAATTTTGTTGGCAGTGAAATTAAGTTTTCATTTCTAGCATATAACCTACAACATTAATTCAATTACTCCCATGGGGCCTACTCTTTTATTTTTATAAACAGTGTTGAAATATCAGACACACAGAAAAATAAAATCTTAGAAATAAGACATAAAACATCACAAATTACAATGACATAATGTTTATTTTAAAAACCTAATATTAAATTCTTGAGATTAAGTAATTAGATAACAAATTTAAAATGTCATAACGTCCAAAAAGTTATACCTCCTGCACATCTACCACAGCAATAATCGATGGCTTGGAACACTATAATTCGCTGTCAGTTAAAATATTGAGCTACTATGTTTTTCAAGGTGCCATTAGTGTATAAAATTCTAGATTAGATAACTATCTTAACTGATTCTAACGTATACGGATATTAAAAGCAGATTGGTCGACTTGAAAAACAATTCAGAAACTGACAACTCTTTTTTTTCGCCCCCCAGTGGCACAGTGGTATGTCTGCGGACTTACAATGCTAGAAACCGGGTTTCGAGACCCGTGGTGGGCAGAGCACAGATAGCCCATTGTACAGCTTTGTGCTTAACTTCAAACAAACTCTTTTTTTTTTTGTTTTGCTCATGAAGCAATTTTCATTGGTACATTTTCTTAGTTTGCATAGAAAAAATAATTAAATTACTTCAAGTAATTTTACAAACTTTAATTTCTGAATAACCATTAACATGTTTCATATGCAGAAATTAATTAGCAGTAATAAATTAATTTCCAAAACAAAATAATATACCTCAAATTGCCATTGTGGTTTCACTTAAAATGCAGTACCTGAATTACATAGTCCTATTCAAGCAAATTCATTTGTAATTTATTCAATGCTACCACACAGTTCCAATGTTATCAGATAACTGATTAGTGAACATCACTTCAATGTTAAAAAAATGTTATTAATTAAAATTACATTAAATATTGTGAGTTTGGATTATTTTGAATTTTGTGCAAAGCTACATTAGGGCTATCTGTGCTAGCTGTTTCTAATTTAGCAGCAATAGACTAGAGGGAAGGCAGCTAGTCAACATCACCCACTGCCAACTCTTGGGTTACTCTTTTACCAATGAATAGTGGGATTGACCGTCACTTTATAATGCCCCTACAGCTGAAAGGGGAGCATGTGTGGTGGGACAGGGATTAAAACCCACAACTCGTAGATTGCGAGTCAATTGCTCTAACACTGTGAGGAAAAGCTGTAAGCTTTACTTCTAACTACATACATTCTAGATCACATTTTACACATAAACAGATTATATCCAAAAAATATCCTGAATACAAAAATTTCTACGTCCATTCTAGATCACATTTTACACATAAACAAAAATTACTACGTACAGTTTTATTAAAAAGACCAGAACTTTAATTAACCTAAAGTGATTTGTCGAAATGTCTACTGCAAAAAAAAAGTTTTTACCTCAATGGCAAAAAGCACAGTAAAGGCGGCAGAAACAGTAGCCAAAGGTATTGTATGGCTTTCATCTTTCTTCCACTGAGAAAAAAAAAAGAAAGTTTAAATTAAACTGCTAATGTTACTTCTATTTGTTCACAAACCAGTAAATCACTAAGAAAAAGTTCTCAAAATTGCTGGATCTTTACAGATTTATACAGGTTAAAATTATTTCTCTGTATGAACAGTGCAATCTGTTTAATGTCAAAAGGTTTTCTGTATGTTTCATACACAAAAAAAAACATGAACAAGTTATACATATACATATAATTAAGGAGAACAAGGGTCCTAATGGCCCATCTTGGCCCCTCCCATTCACTAAATTAAACTTTAAAATAAAAATACAACACTCAAAGCCAGTCCTTATCCTTCAAATATTTATCAAGCTTTCCCTTAAACACCCGTAAATTAACCGCATCCACCACAACAGAAGGCAACCCACTGCAAAGACCAACCACCCTGTTAGAAAAATAAAACTGTCTTAGCTGAGGGTGACTCCTCCCTCCCCTAAATTTATATATATATATATATACACCTGGAAAAAAGTTAAGCACCCCGTGTTTTTTTCAAGTGATTCAGATTCGACGTTCTT